AAGTTCTTATTTGATTAGTTTAAATTTGTGGACACCCTGTATAAAATGATAAGTTTATTATCATTGGGATATAAAATATGATTTCTTGTTACACTCCACTACGAATTACGTTTACATAACTTAAATAATTCTAAAGTATTTGACACATGAAAATAATATTAGATTTTGATAAAATTCGAATTATTTACAAAACATTTAGATTTAGACATTATAAATCTTATTATTAAAATCTTATTAAAACAAACACTTGTTCGTTCACTTGTGAGTTCGTGATTTCTTATGTTGAGTTTGTTGTGTGTATCAATAAGGTTGTCTGCGGTCTTCTTACTGTTTAGAAGCAAACATACTCGGTTATTTGAAACACGAGAGACAAATCTTATATTGACTGGACCAATCTTGCTTGCAATGGCAGGCGTATATTCTGTTACGGGGATTCAGCAAATTCCTTAGACGGCACTGAAACTTGTTTGGCCATTTGGGAGTACGAGAGAGGAGCACTAGTTGATTGAACTGTAGTTGGAAGAGACAWATTTTTGGTGAAGCACTCCTGTGGCCAGAAGCACGTYACCGTTAATTCACTTCACTGGMCGTGTATAGACACGCTGGATTCTCGAGTTTTTATTCSAAACTGCGATCAAATAACTCGCCTATCGCTCGTTTGAAAGCACGTCTATACGCGACAGTGGTACACGACGAACTCCCATCTTTCAAATATTGTGTGCTTTACTTTACTATACTATTGTGCGCTTACTGTTACTGTTGATAGTGTTTGAAAATGGTGCTTCGATTTGCATTTTGAAGTCTTTTTCGAAACATGCTGATTAATTCCGACGCTTTTAGGTAAGAAACGCTTTGCCTCCTATATTAAGATGCAGCTGTCTGGCGATCGAAGCGGTCGATCTTCGAGACACCAAAGTCCAGAACCGCCGCCTCGATTGCACCGAGGACAAAGTGCAGACACTCAAAGTCCTCTGGCTTTACGAAGGGCTTTCTTGGAAACGCACACCCCGAATTCGCCCAGTATATCGCGAAGGTAAAATAATTTGCGGTGCCAGAGAAACAAGACGCATCTGAAGTAAAAAAAAAAACGTTTAACGTCGATGTTTAATTTTTGGTAGATATGTGCAACCGACGCCACCCGTGCCCCCACCGCGTCGGCTGTCTGAAAGTACCTCGGTGCCAGGCTCGCCACAACATTTGAGGGCTCGATTCCACTACACTCCCGAACCGCAGCGCAGAGTGTTTCCAAGCAGCGACGGCTCATAACAGAACGTTTACGACGATCCTTGTGCAACCTTAGTGAGAATTTGTTTCGGGTTTGAACGATAGATACTTCTTGGGCACACATTGTCATCACATTCATAACATCTCGTTATCTCCATATGTAATGG